GGGTCATCCTTTTCGTCTGTGTAGGTGCACATTAAGCCGGAGCGACGGCTTAATGGTAGTATCCGCCAGGTGACCCAGACTCGAACCAGATTGATGTCATTTAACCCGTTCCCTAGAAGAGCTTTGATCTTCCTGATGGTGGGGTTGAGAGGCAGGCTCTCAACAGTGGATAACTTATCTGCCAGCGGATGATTGGATTCGAGGCGCAGGGCGCGAAAGTCGGGCAGAGGCTTCTCATCAGCCGGTGATGTATCTTGACAGTAGAACCACGTCTGGTTCCAGTCTTTCGGGTGACTTGGTAGTTCAACATAAGGAAAAAGACAGTCTCTCCGCCGCTGGATTGAGATGCCGCCGAGTTCAAGACTAGGCCCGTTGGCACATTCATTTTGCCGGTTCAAATAGAAGAGTTCTCTGAAAAAAGTAGACTTGGCTCCTCTCCCAGGTACACCTCGCAGAAGACTTGAAAATTGCAGAGGTTTGACACGGAATTGGGTCCAATGTCTTGAGGTCTAAGGTCAAAGAAATTCAGAACTTCCCTGAAGAATTTTGAGCCGGGAGGGGCAAATCCCCGGTTCATGTGATCCGTGAAAACTACTACCTCCCCATCTTTGGGTTGAGGTATTTCCTCAGACGGGTTAGGGACACGATAAGACATGACCTCCCTCTTCGGCAGATGGCCGGACTTCACGAACTCGACAAGTTTGCTTTTGGTCACTGTGGATGGAACCCAATTGCAAGTCACAGGAGCTTTGGCCGCTTTAGGAGCCATGACGGCAGTGGCCTACGACAAAATAAGCGAGCTCCGGTTCAACTTTAACCCGGGAGAAATATCTAAAATTATTTAAAGTGGCGGCTTAAAGAAAGGGGCCTAATGACATAAGGGTGATTGTGCAATAATATTTAAGCTGCTAGCTGTGTTAGGAGCAATTCTAGAATTCTTAAGATCATGAGAAGAAGAAGAAGTTTGCCGGGTGATAGAAACAAGTTTCACATACGACAGCTATTATTCTGGATCAAAGTATTGCTCTGAAAGAGAAATTTTCTAGACCTAAAAAAGGGCAGAGAAGTTCATACATTCGAAGAGGCTTTCTAAACAAGGGAAATGAGATTTATTTTTGTGCAAGATCAATGCAAACAATTACCGCAGCAGTTCTGCACAGTTTTCACGATCTAAGCAGGGCATTGGAGGTAAGAACTTGCGAGGGTTTGCGTCAGGCAGTGATGAACGCCGACGAACTCGACAAAGTCCTAATGCAGATCTGAGAAGGGGAACGAGAGGAACTCACGGATGCGGACGAGCTGCGGAGGAGCGCCGTCGATCTCTGGTCAGAGTCAGGTTGATGCAGCGGCCTGAGTCGGTGAAGACGAGGGGTTCGACGGTGGAGGCGGCAGAGCTCGGGAGGAGGCAAGAGGAAGAAGACGACTGGGGGCAAGACCTAGGTCGCCCTATTTATAAGAGAAGATTGACCGAGAGGGCGCGAAAAACGAGGAGATAACATTTATTATCCAGCGGCTCTGGCGCCTCGATTCTCGGGATGGTCAGTAAAGACAAAGATCCATTGAAGATATGACGGAGTAAAAATTAAGTTTTATTGAAAATGACGTCACGATGATTTAACCCGGATCCAGATGATGATGTCATGGCGGGTTAAATTTCTTCGCGGAAGACAAAAGACTGCGGGACAGTTCATAAGGTATTTTCAGATTGACATGAACAGGTTCAAATCAATCTGGGGCCTAATATTGGGGATATAACTATTCGTGTAAGCCGCCCAGGAGGGGTCGGGTTATGCGAAGGGGATTCACCAAAGAGAAGCCCAAGACCAAAGCATGAAGATGGCGGTTCATAGAGAGCTTAAGGCCCACAGGCGACTTAAGGCCCGTTGTAGTAAACCGCTATAATAATATTACTTGTATCATAAGGTAGACTTAACTAGTCACCGAGCCGGACATTGTTTATAAGCCGGCCGGGACTTTATAAGCCGCAGGGCGTCCACCCGTGTATATAAGGGGACGACCCGCTGACGGCTTAGGGTAAGAAACAACTCATCGAGAACCAGGCATAGCGTGTCTCGCTCCCTGGTCATCGAAACAGCAATACCAACCCAACTAGACGTAGGCCTTACCTTCACCGTAAGGGGCCGAACTAGTATAAACTCTCTCGTGTCCTTTGTCCCAATTTAACCCCTTCAAGCTTCCTAGTTGCGATGGCTCCACAACTAAGTCCTTTCACGAGGACATCTGACGTGACAATTCCACGACACCAACCGCTGTTCAAGGCGGTGTGTACGCGGTTGGAGCAGGCGGCTATGGAGGTTTTTTCCCAACATGGGTGGCAGCATAACCTTCGGATCGATCCACCGCCGAGTTCGACATAGGCAAATGTCGGTCCATAGGACTCTATTGTTGCCGTTTTGTCGGTTTTCTTACTTTTTCTATTGTCAGACTTTGGTGTTTGGCTGTGTGCATCCTAGTTATGCAGAGGCCGGGTGTTACTCATAATATTTTGTATCCGCTTGATGCTACATTTGAGATAATAAAATCGCACTTTATCGAAAAAATGCTATTCACGTTGAGTGGTACTTATAGTACAGTTTATCCAAGTGGTCATGGTCGAGTTAAGACAAACCGGCTTAAATATGGTTGGACTAGTACCCAAACAAATTGAGACGATTACATTACAGTCAGTGATATGGTTAGGTAGCACGTAGTGTACTGTTGCATCTGGTATGAGGTTGCGCCTAAGGCATGCCAGGATAACTAACGATCAATTCATTTTTGTACTTGCGGCTGTAAGGAAAATCAAAAAGCTAGCATTGCAGTGGAGCAATCCCCCAATCGATATTGAAACTGACAGTTTGGAGGCACTCAACATGGTGAGAAGCGGAGATACAAACAAACCAAAGTATGCTTTTCCTATTAGAGAGATTAGAGATAGCATGTCCAAACGTAGTTCTTGTATTACTCACATTCGCCGCAGTGGGAACTCTTCTAGCCATGCATGTATTGGCAAACTTCGGTAGAACTCAAGGCTGACCTGCTTTATGACTTGGGTATGGACCGGAGGTCGTTTCAGACGCTGTCAGGTTTGATTGTATCCCTTGATTGAATAATACAAGAATTATTTTGCAAAAAAGGAAAAATCAACAAGTGGTGCATCTAACCTTTTGAGTTATTTCCATATATACCACTCAGATTTTGACTATATACATCACTCAAATTTTCCTTTTTTTGTAGCAAAAAGAAACGAGTATTTGTAAAGTGGTGGCAGGCCGTTAGAAGTGGAACTTGTCATGGGAAGCCAAGACACTGCTGGTGACCAAGGATTTGGCTACGAATTGGCTTTTTGGGGGGAGGGATCAAATATTGAGATCCCGGGGTACGCATAAACTACCGGTCAATTTCTGAACTAAGTTCGAATTTAAACTCCGATATGGTATAAAATGAATGTTAACACATGTGTAATGTGCTTTCATCATCAGAGAGATCAAGTTCAGTATGGGCGAAAGTGATTCTTGCATTACTCATATTCATCGTAGCGGAAAATATTGCTAGTAACTTCATGACAAACTTTGATAGGTTGCATGGCCGAACAACTGTCCGACTTAGCTCTAGCCTAGATGGTGTCGTGGAAATTGTTGGATGAGACTGTAACACTTAAATTTGAGTAATAAAGAATTATTTTAAAAACAATTAATGCAGTATCTCATTGGTAGGCGAGCTTTTACTCGGTTCAGCTCTTGAACAAGGGCAGAGTAACTATCCTAAACCATTACACCACAATCTACTTTGAGAAATGTATTGAAGACAACACATTTGTACAGGTATAACTACTCAAATTCAAACAAAACCAGAAATTTCATTCAGCAAGAGTATCTACCGAAATCATGTAATCTCCCTCCGTAAAGAAATATAAGAGCGTTTAAATAACTAGTTGAGCACAATCCTTTTAGCCCGCCAAAAAAAGGGTAACCAAGTCCTTGCAAGTGACTCAACCTGACAATCGGGTTGGGTTTGGCCAAGTCAACCTCTAGCAGACCCATGCCCGATCACTCTGTCGGGTCTATCCTAAACCCACGACCCTACCCGTGGGTCACCGGGTCTGACAAAATTAAATAATTTTATTTTTTATAGAGGACATAGACGTTGTATTGTGCATGCGGCGTTCATTCCTAGTGACATGAACCAGCGGTCTCCATTTTATAGACGGGGCTTCCCCTCCCATGCGCTCGAACAGGTTAGGTGGGACTAAAGGTTCAGCTTCTCTTTTATTTGCTGGACATGTGTACGCTACACAGGCTTCATCTTTTATGGGCTGAATGCATATGTGCAGCGCTCTGTGCATGGGCCACTTGCTGAAGGTGAAAATGGGCCATAGTAATGATTGTGCCTTGCTCTGTTTTGTGTGACTACTGCAGTGTATTTAGATTAAAAAGAAAAATATAACAGGAAACAAATAATTTATTAATTATTTATATTAATCGGGTGACCCATCGGGTAACCCACGGGTACAAACTTAAACCTATACCCTACCCATGACTAATCGGGTTACCCATGGGTAAAACCCATGGACGAAGTCGACAACCCATACTCTACCCATTAGGGTCGGGTGCCCATGGGCGCACAAACCCATGGGTCGGATTGCCGGGTTGACAAGTGACCAACATATCTAGCCGGCCGGGTTTTATCACGTGCCTGAGTGCTGTTGCAGTAGTATATTCTGTAGTGTATAAATAGGCAGGAGGGCCTGGGCTTTTGCTCCAACTCACCGGTAGATTGCCCCGCTACCATTCCAAGCACGCATTCCAGCTATAGGCAGGCTGCAGGCAGTTCGGAAAGAAAAAGATATAGCTGCAGGCGCCATGATGGTCACCGGCAAGGCTCTGATGATACTGGTTGCAGTGTTTATTATCTGCACCGTCGGCGGCCTGGTGATCTCTCCGGCGGCCGCGGAAGAGGTGCCCCTGGTGCCGGCGGTGTACGTGTTCGGCGACTAGACCATGGACGTGGGCAACAACAAGTTCCTGGGGAACTTTACGCCGTCGTTTCCCTACGGCGTCGACCTCCCGCTGGGCATCGAACCCAGGTTCAGCAACGGATACAACATGGCCGACTCCATCTGTACGTACTACGCGCAGGCACTTTTTATCATGTCATTCTACCCATGAAGCTAACAGATATGCAAACTGAAATGCAGCGAAGCTGTTGGGTTTCAATATGAGCCCGCCGGCTTACCTGTCGCTGACGCCGGAGACGAGCGTTGAGATCCTGAAAGGCTTGGGTGGAGTCAACTACGCTTCCGGTGGATCCGGCATTCTCGACATCACTGTCAGTACTGCCGCTTCTTTAATTGCGCCTAATGCTGACACTGTATTCATCTATCTTTTTTCTAACAAAAACTTGTTTGCATTACTTCACCATAGTCTGAGTTACTTGTCCTAATCCTGCTTCTTGTTTGCATCGACAGGGGAATGCCTCCCTCCCGTTGAGCAAGCAGGTAGAGTACTTCGCGGACACCAAGGCAAACATGACAGAGGAAAGCGGCGGCAATAGCACCGAGATCGATGCGCTGCTGTCCAGGTCGCTCTTCCTCATTAGCGACGGCGGCAACGATATGTTTGAGTTCGTCTTGAAGGGACGGCCAATCATTGAGTTCGAGTCCTTCCACCGGGACCTTCTGTCCAACTACACCAAGTATGTCCAGACGCTGTATGGGCTCGGGGCGCGGCGTTTCGGTCTCATCGACGTGCCGCCTGTCGGCTGCGTGCCGATGATGCGGGCGATATTCTTCCGGAGTTTCGGTCTTGACGGCTGCTTATTCCCCGCAAGCGACCTCGCAAGGGGCTTCAACAAAAAGTTGAGCATCGAGATGGCGGAGCTCGCCGCGTCGCTGCCCGGGATGAGGTACTCCGTGGGGAGCTCCTACAAGCTGGTGACCAGCTACACGGCGCACCCGGAGGCCGCCGGGTTCGACGATGTGAAGAGCGCGTGCTGCGGCAGCGGGATGTTCGGCATGGAGACCTCGTGCGTGCCCGATGTCACCACCTGCCCCAACCACGATGACCATCTCTTCTGGGACGCGGTGCACTGCACACAGGCCACCTCCAACAAGGGCGCCAAAGCCATCTATGACGCGCCGCTGGAGGACGGATTCGCCGCACCCAACAATTTCAAGCAGCTGCTTCTTGATGATCAACCCACAAGCGTCAGCCGTTAATTTACTTAAGAGTGTGAGTCTCAAGCCTGCTGCTATTCTCTGTTACTAGCACTTTTGTCATGTTCGTCTTATCCTTGTTCTGTGTCGAGCACAGCAGATGTGTGTTGCATGTGCTCCGTTAGTTTTTTTTTTTTTGAAACGGGGCAAAAGATTTGCCATTTTCATTGATTAAGAAGAAGAGAATTGCACGGTTAATTAACGGAAAACCGAACTAAAACCGATACAACTCAACCCACTTGACATGGGCACCACCGGCCAACTTGGCCACCAACATGAGACACAAAGCTGCAAAGAAGAAAAGCATTCGTCGAGGAGTCGCAAGCGTCATCGTCATCACCGGTTGCCTCGAACGAGCGACTCCGACTTCACCATTGAGCTCCAACCGCGAAGCCAACCCGCAAACAGCCGCATAGAAGCCACGACGGCATATGCCACCAGATGGCCACACGCGCAAGCAGCCGACAGCTCCGACTTTGACGACGAGCCTCACCAGGGAAATATGCAGGACTTGCGTCGACCGTGCCCTCAAAGCACCTCGGACACGCCGGGAAGAGCCGACTACCGAAGTCCACGCCGCGACCCGAGCTCCTCTCGACGACATCATCGTTGCCAAACAAAAACCAGCGCCCCGCCTCAGCAAACTACACGGCGAAGATGCCGCCATCCACGACGAAGATGCCGCAATCCACCAGTCTCCCAGTCGTAGCCGGCTCCGAGACGATGCCCCCAAGGAGGAGAAAGACGCGAAGACGCCTCCATCGCCCGATCCAGCGAATCTGAGGTTTCCCTCCGGAGCCAAAGCCGTGGGGAGAAGGAGCACACCTCCACGGCGACGCTTCCAAAAAAGATCACGGCACCCGCGGGCATCGCCGTCGCCGGCTCCGAAGAAGGCCGGAGCAAAGATTTCTCCCGAAGATGCGCCGACCACCTACCACCACCGACCGCCACCCACCAGCCACCACCTACTGAGGCCGACCTCATTCTTGCCACGGGATCCCACGATCCACCGCGACCAGACACGCACCACCCCCTGGCCGAAGCCGCCGTCCACCACCGCAGCACCACCGTAGCCACCTCCACCGCAGCAACCCACGCCGCATCGCGAAGCGCAGCACCCAGATCGATGCACCTTGCACCAGATCCAATCGGAGCTGCACAGGCGAAGCAGCAGAGAAGACGAGCAGGGTCTCCCTCCGCAGCACACCTCGCACTCCAGAGGAGCACACCCGCCCGACGCACGCCTGCAACCACCGCGCCAGCTGGTCACCGCTCGTGAGAGGAGCCGCGCCCGACGTTTTGTATCGTGCAAAATAAGGAACCTGACACGTACATTGTTTGCGTGGAGGTGCGTCGTATAAGTGGGCTGCATTGTTACAAGCTGTTCGTGGCATGGTAGGAACAGATCGTGGCATAGGAGTCGGTCATCTTTGATTCCTTACTGGATAATATCCTTATACTGAATAATAAAGAAGAGAAACAGGAAAAGACCCAAAGATAACAGCGTCGGGAAAATCTCGTCTCCTCTCAGTATTCATGCAAGTGAATTACTAGTGTCCATGCACAGTGGCGGAGCTTG